TTATCATTACAATACGCATATTATTCAGTCACCGACTTCTCATCCACATGAAACCATGAACTTTCTACCTTGACACGTCATCAGAACCCTTTGATTTTTTTTTTGTGCGAATGAGAAGAAATTTCATAGAGCTGTTAGAACAAAACGAGCATTTTTCGTAGCTCAGTTTTTTGAACGAGTTGTTGTCATTTAACTTTTGAAGTTTTTTTCATCACTTTTCAAAAAAATCTTCTCACGTCTGAAATTCCTTGATACCTGAATGCAGCATTTCAGGAAATTGACGAAAAAGATGAAGAGATTTTATGCTAGGAAAATATTTCTATTTCTGAATGGCTGAATGGATAGTTGGGAGAAAGTCATTTGTGCCAAATGCTCAGACAAGGCTGAATGTTCAAACGAGTCGGCTTTTGCAATGCATTTTGAATTGCTGCATGAAATAATAGCTGAAAAGGGTACTTGATCAAAATTCTCGACTGGGCGAGATCATTTCGTTAGATTCGTCGAGATCATTTCGTTCATATTCCGCTTCAGAAGAACAACGAATAAAAAATATACAATAGTATTGGAAACAAAATCAATTGAATAGATATATCATTGACTGATTAATTGATTACGTCACAGAATCGCTGATTGACTGATAGACATGTAACATCATAAGCGGATATTCTGAATAAGACATGAATACGCATCCTACTGAATCAACTGTATTTATGTTCATTGTAACTGATCGTGAAGTGTTCAGTGAAACGCACGTAGCAAATGCCATAAAAAACCCTCGCATCCAACAAAACTGCTTTTCACTCCTTTCAGTTACTCAATGAGCAAGTGTTCATTGTGTCTTCATGTAAGTCGAATTCCAGCAAACCTATCATCACATCATCCGAACGTTATTCCCAGCGACGGCGCTACTATGACGGAGTATTTCCGCATTCATTGCTCACTGACAATGAGATTTATCCGCTGTTCTTTAAACCCGTTTAGATACTCGAGCATTCGCCATCCGAATCTATAACGTGAAATCGCATTCGCCANACATGCAAATTTTCCAGCCAAAGTGAAATTTCCTATCAGTTTTCAATTCTTTCATTTCATATTCGACCCGAAAAAAAAACTCACTCGTTCACATAGATTGACTGACGTCAATAATGATTGATGAATATTAGTCAAGCACTGCTATCGGATGAGCATTGACTGAATCAAAGTGCTTACCCAAACGTACTACAACGAGGTTGATTGGCTGGATGTTATGGACGATTTCTGTGAAGAAGTTTTCGAAAAGCACTTAAAAATAAACAATGAAGCTCGAAACCACTCTCCTCATAATCCGTTCGTTTATATTAACTAACTTTCAAAACAATCGCAAAAATAAACTTTGACTGTTGTTCAACGAATACAGAGCATAGACCACGATAGGTATCACGAAGATGGATAATTTGCAGAAATAATCCAAAAACAAATTAACTGAAATTCTTTAGAAGTTCGAACAAAATCGTTTTATTTCTCATTGATTCCACCTAAAAATTAACATCATTTATGATAGTGTAGAGGAGAATGTTTGTTATATCGATGCCTCAATCGTTGGTTCATCTTTATTTATATTTGCTGAGGATATTGGAGTGATCATTATTATTGTATTTCAAAACATTCGCATGACCTTTGAACACATTTCTATTGATGGTGGCTCGGAAAACCTAAAATGATTATTCCTCTAATCATGGAACGTACTACTTTTCCAGGAAATGCACATCATCAGTCATTTATGAAAATGCATTCCAGATTAGAATCACTAGTGCATGGCAAAATATTAATGGCAATAAACGACAGCCATAAAATTTCATTTGAAACTTCATAAAAGCAAACTGTGACGGTGAGTACTCATTATTGGAGGGTGCTGACGAACTCGAAGCATTCCTCTGGCAACTTTCTCGGAATACGAAAGCAATTAATGTCGGCATTTCATTCGTTCGGCTGTCAGCGAGGCGGTTCAGTAAACAGAACACATCACTTTGCAAATACATGTTCACTAATCACTAGCCTAAAAGCCTTCAAACATTTGGCATTTCCTTGTGAAATGTACTTTCGCTTTTTTGCCACTGAACTTACTCCTAAGGAACGTCTATAGTTTTTCATCAAGGCGCAACAAACGTTGGACAATGATAATGATGAAAACGACAACAATAACCTCAGGGATTCCGCTGAACATGCTGCCGGAATGTTTAAGATCGGTGGTAGATCTCAATGAATCAAAAGTTCAGTCTTGAAGACCGAAAAATAATTTAGTCAGTTATAAAAATTTCAAGATTGGAGTAATATTTGATTCTTTTACAGTCCCTTTTCGCCATCTGACGACTTAAGTGATCGATGGAAGAAAAATTTGACTTTTCCCTATGCTTTATGGAAATTGATTAAATTGGAACTGGTAAAGAAGAATTCACTCACTCAGGAAATAT